ACATAAGTTCATAATCTTGAAAGAATGCCTGCAGTTGCTAAATATCTTTGTACAAAGCCAGAAAGAAAATATGCTTTTAATAGCCCAATAATATATAAAACTTAAAAATCGTGTTTGCTCATTGTTTACATCAAATCTGAATTCACATATCTCAAGAGGAGGCGGAAGTGACCTATCCTGTATAATTTTCACTATGGCGAGCAAGCGACTGTTTCCGAGAGTATACATATCGAGATATGGCATATAGTAAAAATGCTATTGACGAACAGCCATGCTGTCGACCGGCCGAGCACAAACCTCGGCACAAACAAACATTCTAAATTTTAAAACAATCTATTTTTCTGGATTTCTGGTGTGCGTATCCCTCCTAATTTATTGCGAATGGGAAGTCTATAACTGTAACGCCATACCACTATATTTCATTCTACAAAATTGTAATCAAGTAAATGTCGTAAAACGAAGACTCAAAATAGTATGACAGAACTACAAACTGTGTGAGTGTCCGTATGCATATACACATATATTAATAAAAGCTTTAAAAACATTACCTCATGTTAATATTATTAGTTGACCGCTTTAGCCTATATAAGTATATTATATAGCTACATATGTATAAGAAGCTTTAAAAGCAGTATCTCATGATATATATTATATAAATTTTAATATTAATCCTTTTAGGCTATGTAAGCATTATTATATATAGCTTTTAATACGCATCAAAATATCGATTTAGCAACAATTTGAACATAATTTATAAGGGATGGTAATCTTAATTTCACGATCCGTAACCCTATCTTACCAGTGGTACCACTGGTACCATTCGACATTATTTTCAAAGGTACCCAACTGCCATGACCCTTGGTTCACGGATGGTATACTTACTTTCACGATCCGTAATCATATATTACCAGTGGTACCACTGGTACCATTCGACATTATTTTCAAGGGTATCCCAACTGCCATGGCCCTTGGTTCACGGATGGTAAACTTACTTTCACGATCCCTAATCATATCTTACCAGTGGTACCACTGGTACCATTCGACATGATTTTCAAGGGTACCCCAACTGCCATGGCCCTTGGTTTACGGATGGTAAACTTACTTTCACGATCCGTGACCCTATCTTACCACTGGTACCACTGGTACCACTCGACATGATTTTGAAGGGTACCCCAACTGCCATGGCCCTTGGTTTACGGATGGTAAACCTACTTTCACCATCCGTAACCATATCTTACCACTGGTACCACTCGACATGATTTTGAAGGGTACCCCAACTGCCATGGCCCTTGGTTTACGGATGGTAAACATACTTGCACGATCCGTAACCATTTCTTACCACTGGTACCACTGGTACCACTCGACATCATTTTGAAGGGTACCCCAACTGCCATGGCCCTTGGTTTACGGATGGTAAACCTACTTTCACGATCCGTAACCATATCTTACCACTGGTACCACTGGTACCACTCGACATGATTTTGAAGGGTACCCCAACTGCCATGGCCCTTGGTTTACGGATGGTACACGTACTTTCACGATCCGTAACCATATCTTACCACTGGTACCACTGGTACCACTCGACACGATTTTGAAGGGTACCTCAACTGCCATGGCCCTTGGTTTACGGATGGTAAACGTACTTGCACGATCCGTAACCATATCTTACCACTGGTACCACTGGTACCACTCGACATGATTTAGAAGGGTACCCCAACTGCCATGGCCCTTGGTTTACGGATGGTAAACGTACTTTCACGATCCGTAACCATATCTTACCACTGGTACCACTGGTACGGATGCACTGTACAATAGACACAAATCGACAACAATACCGATGGTAGATGGTAGATTTATGAAATTTACCATTCGTATCGTATCGTGGTATTGGACCATGTTCCTTCACTCAGTCCTCCCACCCGCCCTTATAATAAAACATTACAAACTTTAACAATCTACGTTTGTCTGTCTCGGAACAGCGCTTTAAATCTTGTTAATGATATACCATTATCTTTAAGTTCTGTTGGCAGTTCATTCCAAATCTTTACTCCTGAGTAGCCGATACTTTTTTAAGAAAATTAGTTTTAGGCTTTTTTATCGAAAAGTCACAATCGTTATTGCGTAAATTATAATTTTCATTATTTTTCACATTAAAAATATCAGTAATTGTTGTCAAGTATTTGCCATATTTGGCTTTGTACATAAAAACTGCCTCATTCTCTTTCCAATTTTCTATCAGTGGCTGTCAACCTAATTCCTGTAAAATAGTCTCGGACCTAACTTCGTTCGACCTACCAGTAATGACTCTTTCAGCCCTGTTTTGCATTTTCTGCAGCTTTTCAAGCGAGTAAACATTATCAATGTCCCAAACAAGGCTACAGTAGTCAAAGTGAGGTTTTACTATTGCATTATAAACTGAAATTAATGTTGAGTGGGGTACAAAATTTTTCATTCGTCGAATCATGCCTATGACCTTTGACACCTTGGTAACGACATTATCTATAATTATGTGCATTCATTTTAGCTGATCATCAATAATGACACCTAACGTTTTTGTTTCTTTCACTCTTTTTATATTACAATTTCCTAATTTAACTTCTGGATCACCTTCAATTTTGCTAATCCGTTGCCTAGACCCGGCTATCATATATTCAGTTTTGTCCTTATTGAGAGTTAATTTATTGGCCAATAACCATCGATGTATATTTTCCAAATCATTGTTTAATTTTGTTTGGATGTCTATAATCGAACACACGCTTGCTGTCAGATTAGTATCGTCTGCAAACAAACTGGCTGTAGTCGTTCTTAAACAATTAGGCAAGTCGTTTATATAAATAAGAAACAGTATTGGGCCTAAATTTGAACCTTGTGGTACACCACAACGAATTATTCGAGGTTGGGATGTACTGTACCTGGAGTTTTTTTAATATACCTGGAGTTTTTTTCAGGAAAATACCTGGAGTTTTTTTAAAATTTTGAAGCAATTTTGAAAAATGTTGTCATTAATATTCCAAACGATATTTTGGAGGCTTTTAACTTTCGGTATAATACTGTATATCATTTGTAGACCCTCCGTTCGGGGGATTCGGCGAAATATTAGCCTTAGTGATATTTCCCTCTCGGGAAATATCACTTACTTCGGGTAATATTTCGCCGAATCTCCCTCGCTCCAGGTCTATAAATGATAAATATTTAATTAGTATTCTACAGTATTTCTAGTATAGGAGGGCCATTATGAAAACTCGTGGGTAACCAGTAATGTATTTACCCTCGTTAAATAAAGGTTCTAATCTAATCATATAGAGGGCAAAATTACTCGAATATGATTGGCTAATGATGAGGGCATTTTTTCTTAATTCAGGGCAAAATTACGTGTACCTGATTGGCTGAGACGCAAGCGCGGGAAGTTTCTTGTTTTAAATAGCAATACAAACAATGGCTTCTCGCTTTGTCGTTGCGCATGTTATTGAAGAATTAAAAACTTCTAGTGAAAACTCGAACATTGGAAAAAGTACAAATTTATGGGTTGGAGTATTTAAGAAATTGGCTGAGCATTAAGGAACATCGGCGAAGACATGGAAGACATAGAAGGTTCAAGAACTTGACAAGTTCACAACTAACTTACAAATAAATTTTGCCCGCTATGATTAACAAGTAATCGCATAGTTCCTCGCAAAATTAAGGTTTAATTTCACT